TTAAGTTGAAACATATCTTCGGACATTAACTGGAGAAAGTTTCAAAATCAAGACCTACATTTTTAAATAAAATTCTGCAGCATACATATGTTTCAATATTTATTATTTACACGGGCGCCAGGTAAAATTTTGTGATAACGCTTGTTCTTCTACTGTGGTTGGAGTAAATTATTTTCCTTACTTGGGTAATATGATCAAATTTTAAATATTATACCAATACATTACCTTCTCCATATGAGAAGAGGCTCAGCGGTGGCTCTAATAGGCTCTAATATTTACTATGTCAAATTTAAAATTATACATCATAGCTTAAAAACAGTTAGTACTGATACCTAAAAATTCTTGTCATGTAAACTATATTTCTGTACATAAATTTTAAAAGCTTTAAATATATTGAACATAATACGCGTTCAATTTTATTATCTTTATTAAAACTGAAATGATCTGCTGAAAATCCAATTTAAGGCGGTGACCATTTCTTTGATTAATTCAACTGTAATATATAACGTATTGCCGAAGGTTAAAGCTTATTTTACAAGTTCATGTAAATACTTTTGACCCACGTCTTGCAAAACAAAACCAGTAATAATTATTATCATTGTCTAATATAATCAATAAGCCATAAAGTAAAACAAAAAGTTACACCATCTAACTCACTTATTCATTACAACGAGAGGAAAAACGATGTCAGATTCTGTTCATGTAGTCGTGATTAGAATTATTTAAACAATCCATCGGAAAATACTGGAAATGAACTGAAAATTCCGTTATAAAATCCTATATAACTCTAGAACTAAGTTGAAACGAACAAAACGTTGAAATGAAACAGAAATAACCAATAACTGGAGCGAGAGGTATTTTTATTTGAGTCATACATTCTGTTATCGTTTCTGGGGTCGTTATTGTAGCGGATGAGTTCGTGGAATGTTTATAATAATCCGTCCTTGATATATTTTCTATTGTAACGTAATGTAGAAAAGTTAGCGCATTTTATATTTTTACAATTTTCAAGTTAATACTACCACCAAATGCCTAGTACTTAAGCATAAGTCCCTGTTAAAGAAAATAGTACCTTAAATTTTTTATACATAAAGTTGCAGATGTTGTTTAATTTCAAATTATGCAAACAATTGTTCAAAAGTATGTGCTGCAACTTGAAAAATACATTATATTTTTAAAGTGAATTATTTATTTTTGAAGGTCTAAAAATCTATGTTTTATTTCAATATTCTTTATTCCTAGCGGGTTATATCCTTTTTGTGGAAGTGGAAGATAACCTTCGTCTTTCTGTGTGCCCTTGATAATATTTTCAAAATATTATGACAATCGCCTTTACGTTCAAGGATGATGGCAGAATAAACGAAAACATAATTCGCAAATATCTTTAGTTCAAGTGAAATTTGTAATAGCTGGAAATAATTCATGATTTACACTAAAATGGATCGTGCGTATAACTCGCCTTAGATAGGGGTCTTTAAACCTACACCTGGGTCACAAGTCCGGGGCACTGTTGAAGCTCTTCTTCCTACAAAGATGGACCCGGCACCCGCTCGGTGAATCCTATGAATGCTAAGAAATTTTGTGTCGTGTAAATATATGAACATACAAAAATATTACTCAAAGATTTTCAGCAGAGTAGACTAAAATTATGTCGTAAGAAAGAAACAACTCTTTCCGTTGGAATTACATATAATTCCTAATTCACATTTGATTTTGATAGGAAAAATAAAACCACATTAAAATACATAGGCCAAAGTTTCATTTTATTTAGAAAAGTAATTTGTACAATTTTCTAACTTACATTTTTTTTTCATTTGTCTCATAACATTTGCTCATTCTATTAAGTATCTCACTCCACAAAAACGCGTTAATCTATCATCTATTTACCAAAATTGAAAGCTTTACATTATTTTATACACATTATAGCAGACATTATTTACAAAACAAAAAAAAGAATCACACATTTTATTCTATGTATCACAGAAAAAATAATATACACCGCATAAAATTTTCATTTACAGCAAACACGTTTATAATTTAAAGTAATTTAAAAATATAACTTGCACTATGAATATACATTAAATATACACGCTGTAAATGACCATTTCATACACAGTAGTACTAATAGTAGTGTTGTAAAAATACACCAATCGACAAAAACCTCTTCATGAATTGCTGTATCTTTACCTTCTTAGAATTTTAAAAAGGTATATGCATTCATATTCTATTCAAGAACATTATATTACCCAATAAAGTTTATCGCAAGTGTATAAGCAATTTTTTTATTTACAATTCTCTTAGCTAATGAAAAACTCAATTCTGTGATTCCTTGATCTTTCTTTTTTTGTATAATTGACAGATTTATGCGATTTTTAACTCTACATAATTTGACTGTATAATTTGTATAAGAAGTTTAACTTATGATTTGCGATCTTAAAATTATATCATAGTGGACTATGTTACATATATTTTAAAATAAATTATGATTTTTATAAGAAATCACGAATAGCGAGTTTCAATATATACTTATAAATTAGTAAAGAGACGGATGAAACGATTCTAAGCATAGTGATGATATTGATTTTATATTTTTATCTAAAAATCTAGGCCATTTTCGAATTGAGTTCGTTTTTATTTAACATTACGTAGAAAATTAACTAACTAGTTACGTAATTTCATTTCACCTATTAACGAGAAATAGTTAAAAGTAGTTAACGACTTAAATGTAGTATGATTTATCACTCAATAGCAATATTTAAAATTATAATGAAATTATAATAAATGTCGTTAAAAGAAAATAAACAAGTGTTTTATACAAGACCAATCAAAAGTCCTTTATAATTAGCTTCATACCCATATATTATTTTCCAGTTAAAGATTTCATATTGTACTTGTTTTCCGAATACCAATACCATTTAATTAACTGTAACTTTAATAACAAAACTTTAAACAATGATTATTTTTAAGATAATTTAACTTCTTTATACCTATATTTTGATTATTTATTAACATTGTAAGGTATCACTTGTTCTTTAATGACCCAAAAACTTAAATCGATTTTCCTGGCATTTAGTCATTCCAATCCTTGATACTTTAATTTGCTTAAATAAATTATGTGTATTAAAAACTTTCCAACACAATCTACAATGGGTTACCTTCTATTATTCTCTATAAAATATTGTTGCAGTAAAAAATCAAGCTTATATAAAGGTGATACAGTTTAAAATCGTTTTTATACACTCCAGTCAATCCCATCTATCTTAACTAGCTGGTGTTATAAAGCCAGTGACGTCATAGTTCATATATGAAGCTTTACAGCCAATAAAATTTATTGATAATAAAACAGAAGCAGGTAGCTACGTTATAAGAAAATATTATTACGACAGGGAATTCCTTTTACTGAAGGCTATATGATAAAGTTTTTACCTGAACTTATAAGATGGAAAGTATATGTATAAGATTTGTGGATTTTTTAAGTTCTTCTACCTGGCAATTTCCCAGCTTTAGCCAGGGTCTGCCTTACATGTTGTGAATAGTTTTGGTTAGGTAATTGTTTTTACGACTGGCCGCCTGCCTGACATCAACCCTCTTTGGGAATGCAATAATAATAATCAGTGATATCTAAATACTCTTAGAAAGTACATTTGCTTCGAAAAAATCACATTGGTACATGCCAGGATCGAACTCGCGCCCTTTGCAACGAAAGGGGGGCCCTTTAACCACTAGGCCACCACTGACTTCAACTGACTGACTTGTGGATTTTTTACATATTTATTTATGTATATTATATGTTAAAACTAAATTATTAAGGACTTTTGATTCCTAAATATGAAATTTAACTCGATTGGAATCAATGTTTGCGACGTCCGTGTTGGATGTTAGTCTAATCAGTCTTAGATCGAAGAATACAAAAGAAATATCTATATTTATTGAGCGTAAGATTAGCTACTGTTAGTTAATTGATATAACAATCTAATTTATATTATGTAGAAACATAATTTGTACCTAGTATGATGATGGAAGATATGAAAATTATCAATTAATTTAGATATAGAAACAAAATTTATTCATTTTATTATAACGAGCAAAGGGGCTTCAATTGATTAATCAACTTTCAATACAAATACTCGTATTTCATAATTAATAAGGTATGTAATATATATATCTAAATCAATTGATGATATATTTTTGATATGTAGACTAATGGCACAAAAATTAATCGAGATTTAAAGCTATTCACGAAATTAAAACACAGTTAATTATTTCATTACTTCAACAAATAATATGAATATTATAATATATCTAATTTTAAATAATACTCGATTTAAAAAATGTTAATAATATTCCATTGAAAACATATAAAAATATTGTTTCCTCTACCGATTCCTATCTAATTGTATTGAATTATAAATTAAAATTATTTTATGAACTCAATTAGAAATTGTAATAATAAAATGTTATAGGAAAATTCTTTAATCTTCTAGTAAACCGATGTAGAAATTACAAAGCCATTACAAGGCTGTAGTGAGATATGAATAATCGTTTAATGCACTTATAATAGAAATTAGGCTAATAGTTTTACATTTAGCATAGACCAGTCTTAATGGGATGATGTTAAATTGACGATAATTAACACTTAGCGAAAATTTATACGAATTTACATATATGTAATATAAAGAAAGTATTGTCCTTAACGAAAAAAACAGCACTCAGAGAAAATATAGAAATTATGAGTTCTCAAAATGCGTAATTGATTAAAGATTGTTGATTAGTTTTTTGTTTAAACATTATTATTATAATCCAATAATTAATTTATCATAATATTAATACAAAAATTAATAGATTTAAAACATTGAAAAGGGTATAATAATGTTAAAATAATAATATTAGAGCTACGAGAAATCGAATACACGTACAAAGATGTTCAATGTTCATGGTATTTATAATAATGTTCACTCTATAACACTTGGTCACTAAAAGTATACAAACAATTTTAAAGTCTACACGTGTGTCGCTAATGGCGTTTGGTGGGCGTTACCTGTAATTAATAACTTGGGCTATAACATAAAAAAACGATTACTTCCACTGTAATTTATTTTCAGTTTCAATATTTTCTAATATAAACCATTAATTATATAATCACTTACAAAAAATCAAATATGGTCGAAAATCCTTATTTGACATAGACGATAGGTTAATAGGAAAAATATTAGGAACTCGATAGGAATTTAAAATTTAAATTGAAAGAGTTAAAATAAACAAAGATAGGATTTCATAGGAATAAGAATTGAAATTTCAGAAAGGTAAATAGTCTTACAATGCAAAGTCATGTTAAAATATAGTCTTACCTTTCTTAGTAACGCTTGTATTGGCCAAGGTTCGGTTTGAAGGAGCGAGTATGTAATGTGAGCTAGGCGATTGAGGAGTGGCAGACGTCGTCACGCCCTGGATAAATATGCACTTTGTTTATTATCAGTTATAAATAGTATGACATTTTAACTAAAAATGTTGATACTTTATTACCCAATACTTAACTGATGGGTATATTATAATCCATACTATCTTAGCTTTTGAATATTCATAAACATTTAACTAACACTTAAAAAATAATGTTTGTATAGTCGACTATAACACGATTAAATTTGAGATATAAATTTTAATATTTTTGATAGAAAACTTAAAAACTAGAATTTCAAAATAAGTTTCTTTGTTTGTCACTGAACCCAAATAGCGTCGCAATCAGTCAGACACCGTAAAGAACTAAAACGCTTACGTTTACAACTTTGTTTAATCTGGAACTCACGAATATTGAGAGAAGTTATGACGTTGCATTTTTATAACAAAGAATTGAAATATGACTGAAAAAAATCTTTAAATTGCATTTAAAAAAAAGAATATAAAAGTGTAATTCTATGTATATTCGATTCTAAACAAACGAAGTTTTGATTCGTATAAATTTTGAACTGTAGTAAGCCTATTCTATGCAACCACATAGAGATTGGTCGCTTAAAGGATTACTATGAGCTTTACTGTAATCAGTCAGAACCATGACAAGGCATACATGCACTAATCCAGGCTATGTAATCTTAGCTACGCTGATAAAAGGTATTGCGGATATGAACTGTTTTTTTGTTATTATACTCTCTTTGAAACTGTTTTATTTAAGTATGAAGTTAAAACGTCTCAACGTTTTCTGTGTTCCATGATTTACAGAGCTAATGATATGCAATAAAATATAATTTTTAATGAGCCTTACCGGTTGTGCGCTGTCCGTAGACATCGTAGAATTAGTTACAGGGCTTGTGGCACATTGGGGTGATGTAAGACTTGTGGGTGACGTTATAGAATGCAAAGATGGACCTGTGATAGAAATGTACTTTTATATACTGAGAATGATAGGGTTGGGTGAAAATTACTACAGGAGTCAATACACTAGAGCATAACAAATTCAGGCTTTCATAGTGAAAAGGAAAGAACAAATAGATGTGTAGAAAAATGTCTTTTCGAAATGGAAGAGATTTGCAGGCAATGGATAATTGCTCCATCATAATAATTTCAAACATTAGGTAGAAATTTTCATTCACGAGACACGAAACTTAAATAACAATTTGGAAGTAATTCCGTAATACAATATACACAATGACTCTTTAACTAGCCAAAACTCTGATAGGGAAAGTCATATTAGAATAGTTTTATATCTATCGTCAACCTACACTTGTAGGAAAGTCTGAATATACGCAATAAATAAAAACAAACACAGTATGTACGTATCTAAGTTCAAAGAATATATACATATATACTATATAGCTAAATAGAATACATTTTTAGCGTCTATTTATTTACCTGATGGTAGTACCACTGAGTTTCTAACTGACGAATATGGGGGTGGCGCTGGCGTTGACGCTGGCTTTGCTGTGTGAACAGTTAGACCAGTGCGAAGATGAGGATTACCGTAAGTAGCCGCATATCTTACATCCACCCCTTGAATTATACCATTTGGCATACGACCTGCACATAGATTTTGAGGTAAGCCTCACTCACCTTTATATATCTTAGACATATCGTCATATTTGATCCGTTTGCGGTATTAACTATTAGTTCTGAGTAAGCCATAAGTCAAATTACAAGCATATGTGGGAAGTATTCGCTGAATTGATATAAGTTTTCATCGTGTAATTAAACATACTAATACCTTATCAATGAATTGATTTTAATTATTAATTATGGCGTTTATTTCTGGTAATTCATTTTAGCGATACGGGTTTGTTATCAAACTATGAATATTTAAGCATAATTCTCTCAGTTAACGGAAATCTAATTTAACTCGAATATACGTTGAAATTCTAGATGTGTCGGCATCAATATATTTCAAAATTAAACGTGAGCATAGCATATTAACTAATAAAATAGCGAAATGTAATAAGTAAGTATCTTAATCATATAATCTTTATTGATACAAAATCTTTCTTTAATACGTAATCTATAAAGTAAGTATGAAAGAATACCATTTCAGCTTGTTTGAATAAAAATAATTGAAATTCCTTTACAAATGCTAATTAAGAAGACTCATTAAAATATTCAATAAGTGTCAAATTGAATTGTTCATTCATTTGTCATTGTCTTTAATAAAAGTTATAATTATTTATTTGCTTACTCTTCGATCTATTTTTATTCAACACGAATATTGCTTAGGCATTTTAAATATTAAAATATTGTTACATAAAAATAATTATCAAGAAACACTTAAAAGCGTCTCAGTAAATTATATTTTGTTCTTTCATTGATCTAAAATAAAATATAAAACAATAAATAGACTTAGTTTGTTGCGTAAATTGTGCTTACCGTCGTTGGCTAAATTATTCAAGGCCGTGTTACTTTCGTTCCTTTTCGTAGAGCGTTGTAAGGAATTGCTCTGAGATCCATTGCTTGTATTGTATTGAGCTGAAGACGGTGTGTCCACGCTTCTTGGTAGACTGCCGTTAATGGATCTGGAAATATTTTTTATATTAAAATCACAAATATTTATAAATATCGCTAATACAAATAGAATCATAAAAGTAGAATACAATATTGAACAGACAAGTTCGATTTTTATATAAAAAAATATTCATTCACTTTGACGTAATGACACTCATTATAGCGAGTAATTATACTTTTCTTTTGAATAATATATCTTTGTTATGAAAGCGAACAACATGTCAAGGTCTTTCATTTGTCTTCGTTTTCTTTGAAAATATTGCAATTTTTACTGAAAATGTTTTATTGTACTCAGTATCATAATGGATTATTAATATTGTAATACTCGGAGAAATTAAATAAATATTATATGAAAACAGATCTTTCGTTATTTTTGAAGCTATAAAAATGTTATAAAACCCTTTTTTTATTACCTATTTGGGGTCAGTTTGTCGCTGCCTAATGTCGGTGACTGTACCCGAAGCGAACCAGGAGTATAATCGTGCCCATAATGAACATAAGTCTGGTAACCGTTCGTAAAACCATTCACCTATAAATAAATAATAGCTATACATTGCAATTAGCAAGTTTTATATAGTTAACAAAAACTATAATAGCATTCGAGTACACAAATACCTTATCCAAGTTTGAATACCAATTATAAACGAGTTCAAATACTTTAATAGGTTTTGTTAACAATAATCTTCGTAATAAAATTAGTTATTTTTAAACTAAAGTTCTAACTTTTTTGTTTGTATTATGTTTATTCTGAAGTTTTTTTTTAACAAAATTTTAATTCTTAAAACTTCTATGGAAATGAATACGTCTACATACTTCGTAGAAAACGCAATTAATTAAATTGAATAAAAAATACTTTGAACTTAAAAATAATTTAATTTGCTATTAAGCACTTAAAACATTTCATTGATAAATAATAATTGACCAAGTCATAGGTAGAATTACTTATTTTTAGAGACTTATTAGAGGTATTATTTTCACAAATTGAACGAAAAAAATAATTCCGAATCAAAAATTAAATGCAACATTAAATAAACACAATAGATTAAGAAACCAATATTGTTTGATTCGATTGAAAAAGTAAATTTTTTCAAGTCTTCTCATGTTTGAAAATCATTCATATAATCGTATATTATAATTAATTTTGTATCATATTAATTTACCTTATAACATTCAGCATATGCGGGATCAGTGTAGTCATTACTATATCTATATGGCTGGTAGGAGTTTTGATTTATCGTCGTCAATGGAACTGAACCAGCTAATGGTATACCGCTGCCTAATTTAGCATTTGAGCATAGTGTGCTGTCTGATCCCGTATTTGAATAATCCTGTAATTTAAGATATTGTAAAAAGAACCATTCAAGGTTATTACCGTCGATTAGGACTTTTGTGGTGAGTTTAAATTCATTAAAATACTGATATATTGATCAAAATTGAAGCAATTATATTAATCTCTGTAATATCGTGTGGTTGTGGTTATTTTCTAACAATTTAAACAAAATATAGGTACAATTCTTAATGAAATAAATTATTTACAGTGTCTAGTAAACTCTATTAGTAAGTTACAGAGAGTGCTAACTTAAATGAGAAGTAACTTTACTGTACCAATGAGCACATTGTTGTAATGTTAACAACCCAGACGTAACTAAGTTGTAAAAACTTTAGTGTGTGCAATATCTTCAATTTGACCGGTAAAGTTGATTAGTTTTATCGCTGCAATACTTGTTACGGGTATCTACCATACGAAATACAATCAGATGTACTGAATAATAAAAAAATAACAAAAATATGAGAATAGTTTAGTGTAATGTATTTTTATTATATACAATCTTGTTATAAATGGTTACCCATATACATAATTAAATGTAATTGAGTTTGTAATGTAGCATAAAGATACTGTATATATTAAGAAATAAATTGCCATTAGTAGAACGATATATTGAATAACATATCTGTATTATTTTAGTCACAGTTAAATATGTTCTAAAAATATATAAATGAACTAGAAGAAAGGCACTAAGGAATGGTAACAATAAAATAAAAGCAATACTCACAATTTCACAGCTGCCGTTAGCTTGTCTGAGTTCCAATTTTAGATCACTAATGTTCGAAGTCCTATCGTTTTCTTTAAAAAGCTCCTCGGTTGTGACCGTAACGTCTGGTTTCTCTGTAACTTGCGTCTGTTTGTTCTTCCTTTGTTTCCTTTGACATAAAATTACTAGCATCACCACCGCCGCGACCATTATTGTCCCAGACGTCACCCCGAATAAAATCATCAACAACGGAAATGTTTCTAAAAATAATTATAACTATTAGTTGGAGCCGAAAATTAGGTACGATGTTTGGGTACAAAATTTCGGATCTGTCGAGTTTGGAAAACGTATTTAAATAATATCTCAAATAGAATTATAAGACTAATAAAAGTTTTGGGTCGTGATTTACCTATAAAGACGGCAAAATCCCTGGACGGCATACAATTTTTAAACGACCCGGAAGTTTTTATGAAAAATGTGTCGGAAAATATTTTCGTGGCTGATAGATGGCATCTTTATGTGGCGGGCGTAAAGTTAAAACGGCGATACATTTACGATAATGCGTGGTCGTTGGGTCCATAATGGCTTCGTCAATGGATACCCCTAAATGTACCACAAAGTCCCTAGTGTTTGTTCTTTGAGATACGTTTTACGAGACGAATTGATTGGTATATTGAGGATATCTTTCATAACTAAAATTCACGAACTTAAAATTCCATCACAAGGTTCGTACCAGACGTTCATAGAATCTCGAAAAACGAAACCTTTGTTCAGAATTAAGATGTTTTATATTTATAAAATACTTAAACAGCCCCAGTTCTTTTTATCTGTGCGCAATAAAACTTATACAATGGAAGAATAAGGACGTCTCGGTTATTCTCTTGGGTAATACAAACGGCATAAAGTTTAGATTTTAAAACTAAAAATACATTCTAATTTCGAATGCTCAACTCGAAGCTTTGTGGCCGAATTGAAAAAGTTCTTAATAATTTTCTATATATACATATATGATGTTAAAATATTATGCAAAATTAAATTAACGTTTTAAGTGTAAAATTACATTTTCACGCTATTCCAGAACAGCCGACTTATCAGCAATGAATAATTATAAGTAATTTCTAGGCAAATATTTTTCATAATTTTACTAACACCTCAAAGGAGACCATTTTGAACCTTTTTATAATTTGAAGTATATAAATTAAATTAAAATGGTTTTATCAAAAAATAACGGCAACATACAAACAGCCTGTCTGTCCATATATTTCAAAATTAAACGGCTGAATTGATTTTAAATAAATTAGGCTTCTTAACTTCATGGGTCATAATCGTCACCCGTAGACAGAACCGCGGAAAAAAGCTAGTATTATTATATAATACGTGTTTTCAATCAGTTAGCAACCAATCGCGACATGAATATTATAATTTATTCCGCATACATATTCCGTTGATGTTCAAGAGCTATAGTGTATCGATCCGAATATCATTAGAGATGTTATAAGGGTGTAAAATACATGCGACGAATTATTAAAGCATATCCACATTAATTGGATACAGAGTTTATGTTTTTATGGGATATATACTGATGCAGGAATTAGAAACTGATTACGTGAATAATTATGGAGGAATGATGTAGTAAAAATATTAACATTGGTCTGTATCAAACTTTTTAAAGTATGAAATTTTATTTAAATTAAAATCTTTATAGGTAAAAACATGTAGAAACAAATGCATAATAAGTTTTACTCTTCTTCTATATCTGATAAAAAAAACTACAATTACATCTGTCTCTTTTCAAATTAAAATAATTAAAGTATTTTGAGTTAAAATATGTTTTGATTGTATATTAAAAAACAAAACTCGTACTCACTGTTTGGCCTCAAAACGATTTGTAAAGTGTCGCTTCCATAATCGTTTGAGACATTGCATTTATAAACACCGAAATGTTTGGATTGACTATCTCGTATGATCAACGTTGAGTTTACAATGCCACCATCCTGTAGATCTTCAAAGAACGCATAATCCTGTATATAAATATTAATTAATACGTGGTTTTGGAAGCCATCCAAATCTAGTTTACTTGAATTCATTTATTCGAGGAGGAACTAAACTTATACTTCAAGTCTTGATTATACAGAATGAAATGAAAGTTACCTGATCGTGTAATGAGTCAATTTCTTTTCCTTCGAACGTCCACACAATAGAGTCAATTCTAGGAACTGAGAATGCAGCACATTCAATATTCACTGTGTCACCTTGAGATCCGAATTGTGTGTGGTTTGAAATTATTTTAGGAGGACCTAAAATAATTGTGACCGTCTATTATTATATAAAAGTATCGTATTATTACAAATTTAATTAAAATTTTACTTTGTCACACATATGTATTTCATAATACACTTCTGAAATAACTTTATTATAATAATAAATTCTAAAAATCACATTTTTAATAATATAAAGGAAAATGTAATCAAGATTCTATATTAAAATATTTTATAAACATATCAAAGTCTCTTTTATCTTTATCCAGTTACAATCAGGAATACGAAAGCAATTCCAATAATTGGATTTATGATAAAGGAAATACAACGATATGCATTTATACAAAGGCTACAACTTGATAAAACAAAGCTTTAGATTCAAGAAAATATTCCACTAATATCGAATGCACAGACTGAATTCGTTTGCCAATTTTTACTATATGAGTTAAGAATACAAAAGTAATATCTTTCATATTAATTAATGTAATGAAAGCATATGAACTCAGATAAATTAGACATACAACGAGCAACAAACTAATGAACTTTATAACGAATGTCCGAATGAAAAGTTGGAGCTTGGATAAATTGTAGAACAAAGGTCGGGGAAAATCAATGATGAATTCAAAGGGGTTGATGTTTTTAAGGGTATTTATTAAGTAAATTTTTTAGAGTATTGATGAATAGACACGTTTTGAATCTTTTACAAACAAATTATTTTTTAATCCGGTAAGATAAAGAGGAAGGTACGTTCGACTTTAAAAAATTAAGGTTTCATTCAGGGAAATGGAGATTTATAAGGTCAAAAATTTAGTAAATATCTGCTTTTTTTAAGTCTAATTCTAAAGTATTATTTTAAAGTCAAGAGACTATATAATTTTTAATTTTTTTATAGAATTTTTCGACGTAATATGCTATTAAGAATCATGCTATAAAAAATGATAAAAATTTAATTTCAATGTATTCACATTCGATATCTTTATACCTTTTGTTGTAAATCTTGAAATGTAGCAAAACTTTACCTACTAAGATTAAGACTAGTTCTTCAACGACTTCAGAGTAATGAAATGGTTATTTATTACAGCCATAACGGCTCTTACTCGTCTTTAATCTTTTAAGGTAAGTTGAACGTTAAGTCAAAATTATTTAATGAAATATAATAAGATACATTCCAATTTCTTTTACATTTAAATGAATAATGCGATGTTGATGAGTATATGTGAGAATTGTATAATATTATCATTAAAATTAAATGTAGTCTTTCTTGAAGTAAATTTGATTGCAATAAATTTTTGATACCACTTAAATCATTAATTAACATCAATGACTGACTGATTGGAGTTTAACATTAACAACACGAAATCCTCAATTTTATTACTTTTGATATACATATTTTATATTATTACAAGTAAGCGTTAAATTAAAAACGCGGTATGAGCTACAATAATGCTTGTAGAACAGAAGAGTGGTTATTAGTTTTTTGAGTACTGTGCAACAAAAAACTTTATGAAAGAATTTAATTAAGAAACGAATAGAGAATATGGGAAGTAATAAAAAAGAAAACACAGACTCAACTCTCAGTATTTTGCTCATAAAAAATAAGTCTAAAATAGCTCAACAAATATAGACTAGAGACGAGGTATGTTACTTGATATTGGTAGCTGAACTTTAGCTGGGAAACTTTAGTGATCAATAAATATATATATTAAACTATGAAACCATATTATCTTAATTATTCGTAATAAAGATATTTCATAAGATTTATTTTTGCACTTACTAGTTTGTATAAAATTTAGAGTACATTCTTTTATAATTAAAATGAGATAATAGTACGTATTTGGTTTCAAAGACAGGGTTTCCAAGCATAAATTTTATTTATCTTAACACCTAGCCACCAATATATAGGCCTTGATGTTAAAAGGAAAAATATAATTGAATCGAGTTATTTTTCACAGTATTTGTTACATCACCGAGGTATTTCTCGATAAATCACAGAAAGCTACTACAATTACGATAAAGGAAATATTTATCCAAAAAATATTTGTGAGAAAACAGAAAGCGTTAGCGAATATTTTCAAAGAAATGAGCCAAGGTTAGAAATTCTTTTACGAAAGGTAAATTCTACGTATATAATAATGTTACATACAAAAAATTTGGTAGTGGAAAAATGTATTTGATACACTTTTATTTTACTTTAGGTTCAACTAAATTCAATTATATTGAACAATAAAGTTAAGCTGATATAAAAATGTTTATTTCATTATTTTAATATTTATCGAGTTATTATTGCACTAAGCTACAAATAAACTTATATTAACATAAAAATTCATAGACAAATTAATTTTAAACTTACCTTTAATAAAAATTGAAGCTTCAGCCTCAATTTCTGGATATCCTTCAATACTTGCTTTACACATATATCGGCCAGTTGTATGCGTATCCACTAATAGTGTTAAATTTGGTGTTTTACCCACACGCTAAAACACATACTAACTTAACAAAGTAGGATAATTTAATACAGATTATGTTAAATCTCTACTAATAATATAAATGCGAAAATAACTCGGTCTGTCTGTCTGTTACGCTTTCACGCCTAAACCAATGAACTGATTTTAATGAAATTTGGTACACATATAGAGTTGACCTTGAGAAAGAACATAGGATAGGTTTTATCCCAGACTTTTGAAAAGTACTCTTGTAAATGCGATATAACGAACTCGACACGGGAGAAGCCGCGGGCGGAAAGCTAGTATTTTATATATTTAATTTCAGTTAAGCTAGCGTGACGTACTAATCTTGATAAGAAAGTCAAAGTGAATGTTAGTGATCGTATAAATTTAGCGAGTCATGTTTTTTTTTGGACAACCCGTTATTTTGTATACACGTTTCAGAGAATTACAAATAAGCTTTTTGATTATATAAAACAAGCGTGCCAATGTTACTATTTCCTTATTATATTGAAAAGAAAAATATTTTTATGCTCATTAATATTTTGTGAGACTTATATGTACTTATATATGCTGGTTGTGAAGTGCTAAAACCTATTGCAGACTGTTTCTTTAAGATACTGTCATTGAGAATTCATAGTTTTTTATCGAGAGAGTGAATTATTTATATACAAATACTTACAATATTAGTATCTTCTTCGTAATGCATCCATATAATCTCTGGAGCTGGGTATCCATCTACATCACAGTTTAATGTAACTTGTTTTCCTATTTCTGCATCCACGTCTTTCGGGCGATTGCGAAATGATGGAGGATCTATTACATAGAATATGGTTTAAGATATTTATTGCCATTAAGACATTATTATCACTTACATGAGAATTACACTTGTAACAAAAACATTTATGAATATACAGTTCGACATCACATAGAATATAAATGTTAGTAATTTTTTAATAATATTAATCAGTTTATTTTCAGTCAGGTGTTAATGATACATTTAGTTTTTTTATAAAAAAATAATTTAAACTCCAAATTTAATGTTATCAGTAAAAATAAAATTACTATTTTTTGCGTTATAATTTATTTATAACATCTGGGAAAATTGAATGCTAATATTTAATCAAAGTTTTTTTAAGACTAAAAAAGAAAAAGTTACGATTTTAAATAAAACCCGGATACCTATTGCGATGTTTTTAAAATGGATTTCGGTTCAAAAGTAATTTCAACTTACAAGTGATTTGAAGTACTTCAGTTTCCTCGCTTTTTCCGACTTCGTTGAAAACTATGCATTTTAATACGGCTCCATTGTATGCTCTCGTTATGTTGTTAATTTTCTACGAAAATAGTCAGATCATAAATATAGATAGCATTTGTTGATAATAATTAAAACTTTTAGAACATCATCGCCTTCTATCGTGTCCACTAAGAATTTTTATTATTCAAGTTTACAATATTTCATGAACAAGAGTTTCCTAATAAGAAATTCTTAAACATTTTTTGTGGTTTGGATGTGCAATGTACATAGAGCTAATACAAACAAATTTATAATAAACTGTTATATATAATATAATTTGGATTATTAAGTTGAAAATGATTGGTTTATATGCATATATATATATATATATATATATATATATATATATATTATAATTTCTTAGCTGTAATGATTGCGTGATTTTTAATATTTAATGAACATAAGACAGTTTATTTACCAGCACTGAAGTATTTCCTACAATCGATTCGTTCATAATCCATCTGTAAGTCAAGTTATTGGGATTTGCTTCCGCTTGACAACCTGAAGAACAATCAGTTATTAATAAATAGTTTAATAATATTTCATCAGATGAAACTAATATCTTCGGATCTTTGTAGCAAACGTGAAGTAGTAAAAAAAATACGTATAGTACCTAATCAAAAAATATTAGTTTCACTTAAATGAATACTCGTGAAAGTCATAGATCTCAATATTTCATCACATCAATTCTGGAAAACGGACAGAACTAGACTGCACAATATGTTTATACACATATAGAAACAACATATGTACATAATCCATATAATAATAAAAATGGAATACGAATTCTCTATAAAATTGTATAACAACAGCAATAAAAATGTATTCTAAATTTACATAATATAAAAGAGAATATATCGTTAATGAAAATTGTAAAAGAAAAAAGCAGGAGTAAAATGTATATAATTTAATGCATAACTTACGTATAACAGCGTCATGTCCTTCGGGTATTCGTTTGTCCGAATTTATAACAATCTTCACTTTAGGTGCGTATTTTACCTGTGAACAATTAATAAATAATACTTATTAATATTTCCACTGGAGAGTACAATAATGTGTGACTATTTGAAGAGAATATTTCGTTTCCAACACGAAAGTTTGAAACCGAATATCAAAAGAATGTTTTAAGTATCTTAATTTTAAAAGTATTAGTGTCTAAGATAAGAAGTAGCAAACAGCTGATTGGCTCTCCCTATATTAGAAGTCAATATTATTTATATTCATAACTAGAAGACCTGGCGAACTTCGTATCGCCCTATAATCATGAAATATCTATTACGTTTTTTTATTTATATTTTTGGAGTTTAACTGTATGCCATAAATCTCCGTGTTTTGAAGTACGACAGAATGATTGACATATTAGTTAGTTGTCAAATCTAATGTCAAAAAAAAACACCTTTGTATGGGAAATAGAAAAGGGCTGTTTTTAGGTTTTTCTCGGCAATTATTCCAATTTTTCTCACCTTTTAAACCTTCCCTGGACTTCAAGGAGTATTTCAAGACTAAAATTAGCCAAATCGGTTCAGCTGTTCTCGAGTTTTAGCGAGACTAAGGAACAGCAATCCATTTTTATATATAGAGAAGAAGATTATGTGGGTATATGTGATTCAGTCCACTGCTTTGTAAATTTTTAAATATTAGTTACAAATAAACCTTTACAACGCTCACACGTCTCTTCATTACGAATATTTCCGCACAATCGAAAATTCGAGCCTTACCTTATTGAACAATTAGCCAGTAAAAAATGCTCATATTGCATTTTTTGTCACTATCCTTATATTTTATTTGTTTGAACATTAATATTTTGTTATTGTTGTAAATATAAATAATTAATTAATAGTTAGAAAATTAATTATCTGCAGCAAACAGATATAAGATCTCTCTCTTTTATATGATTGTCAAGGCCATTATTAATTAAACCTTACCTTTGAAATTCCACTTAGGTTACATAAATAGACATTCTGTTTTAGAACAGTAATTAATGATACTGACACTCAGACTTTAATTTATATTATCAGGTTAAGTAATTTAGTCTAAGTAAATTCAAAATGAGTAATCCTGAAAGTAAAGTGATATTCAGGATTATTTGAATCAAAATATTCTTGTTTTGGTAAATACATATATAGAATTTACTAGTAACATAATCAAAAATAAATTCTCGCAAAAGTTGAAAGTTTTCCTATGGAATATATTATAGTAATATTTCATTGCCACTGAAATAGGTTACTTTAAATCACCCGCCCTGTATCGTAACATCGGGTTGGATAAAAGAAATACTTTACGCTCATTTATCACAGTTTAAACGTAGGAAAAACGCCAATAGATTAGCCTGCACTGCGAACTATTAAAAATGCACTCCAAAATATATTATACCACTGCTATGAGAGACCGTTTGTTCTCACTGTATTTATGGCGTTTTTCCCTACGTAATGAATTTTGTTTATTGTCCGAACGTTCTAACGTTTTTATTGACTTATAAATGAATTTCAGCCGTTGGTTTTTATGAATTTTTTAACCAAACGAAAGTTTTTATACGGTTGATTTTATTTCATTTTCCAAGTTTAAATTAATTGGCTTTTTGTTATTTCGATTCGAAATATATGTGAGGTGTTGCGTGACTATGGAGTCATTCATATGATTTGATTCACGTCCTTTTAAAGCTGTCTTTATTGTATTAAAACTATTTTTGATAATGTTCGGGATACGAAAACGAGTTTTTTTTTTATAAATATCTTAAAGTATTAATATAAAAACACTTTAAAAGAATATTTGTTATTAAATAATTCTGCCAAAGAATTGATCACCTTATGGCGCTAAAGACATTTATAAAAACATTTAGGATTCAACTACAGGTATATAATATTAAATTAAAAAAGTAAAATATATTTCCTTTTTAAATAGAACGAGTCAAGGTTGTTCCAACATAATAAGTACTTAAGTATCAATTATCATGACGGTTTTGTTTACAATATTGATTTATTGATTGTAATGTTCCACGCGAGCATAAAGCTAATAGTAGTGTGAAGGTAAGAGTGTCAAAATGAAAGGAATATATTTCAATGGTGTATTAGTTATGGTCGCAGTGCAAGAGCTATCTCAATATAAAAATGGTATCGTCCATCGTTCTATAAAAAGTAATTGGGTACCCCATAAAAAGGGTTCTTATTTTATGACCAACGAAAATATACGATAAACAAACCTTCCTTTTTTCGCCATAACAACAACGTTTTTATCAACTAGAAGCGTCAATTTTAATGGAATTTTAGTATCTTTAATTGTGTTTACCTATATAGTGATCCCATTATCCTTTGTAACTTTATCTGTTCATTAGTTACAATAACGGTTATACATTTTTCGGCTCTGTTACATTAATTATTTACAATTTTGTACTCGATTAAACACAGCTAGTTATTTCAACTTATATTCAAGACAAACAATGGAATTAGTTACTTCTTTAAGCGTTTAGTTGTCACGTATGTAGGTTAGGTTTAGTTGTCTCGTAGTTAGGTAACGCAAATTAGATCCAAATTAATATTAAAACTATCAAATTAAAAATAATTCATTATAATATGATATTTTGGGTCAGATATGACAACTCAACTATTATTATTAACAAATATGTAAATTTCTCAGCGTCTTTTCAAGACATATCCAGTATTTTATAAGCGTGTTCTTTTAAACGACTATGAAAGACAATAATTTTTATTATACTACGTGGCATTCGTTGGTAGTCGTATTTTGACTTTATATTCTCTGTTGTATACTTTTTTACTTATACATTTTTTAATGGTATTCTAAACGGTTTGAGGAGTAAATTGTATGTAGAAATTACAGAACGTTTTATGATATCATGTCATACTAAGTATAATAAAATGTTATGATTCATTTTTATGGCTTATTTTAGGTATACTGTTTCTGTTCTATATCAAATATTATCGTTAGCAAATATGAGTGGATAAAAATTTTTATGCTTGTTAAATTTTACTTTTGAATTTAACTAAGACTTGTTTATTTAGGACCTTCAAAATACGAAATTATTCTTCATTATTCATCAACAAATGGACAAATGGATCCATCTATATAATTTAATTGGAAAAGGTCAAAATAACAGACATTTTCCTATTGACACAACCTTTTCACTGCAAAACGTAGAAGTCAAGATACACATCGGCACAAAACGACCCGTTTCAGTAAACTGACCTCCCAACCTAATTACCCCATTTTGTACATGGGTAATGTGGAATAGAGAATATTGTGGTGTAAAATGGGGAGTGCATTTTAAAATGAAACACAAAGAAGAATAGAAATAAGTCTTAGTATTATGAAGAAAGAATTAAAATATTTCGGTACATATATTTCGTTGGTAGAAAATCTTCACAATAATAAAATTTGAGAAATATAGCAATATGAAGTTATAAGTATGTAGTTGAAATTTTAATCCGTAATGACCATGCTATCATTATGTGTCAATATTTTATAAGAGTTGGGAGGAATATTGCAACTCATCCAAGGAACCTTTGGCATACAAAATAAGAACTATTCATGATAATCCCTCCCTCAGATTTAGCCACATCTATCGTCCCTCTTTATAAATATACCGTCAAAGTTCAACCTTTCGTTCACGTCTCCCTATTCTATATAAATAATGTAGAAACATACCCACTCGCCCTTTTTGTATACACACAGAATTTCTAAGCTACACCTTCAACGAAAAAGGCCTCAGAAAGAAAAACTACGAGAACGGAATAAATAAAGAGGCAGAAAACAATACATTATGCTAGAAATACGTGGGTTTCCTTTATGCCAATTAGAGATATACTTTATTTATGTGTTGGTAAAGAGAATAAATTTTGTTGAATAACAACATTGCATTGAGCATAAACCACAACTCAAAAAATATTCCCAGATTCTGCAAAGCTTATATTTATTTCAATATTACGATCGTGATCATGGTTTTTGCAAAACTTATTTGAATAAATAACTGCCCATTAAACGAACACTTAAATTCAACAAGTCGAGACACGAATGGTACCACGAAATTTCCTATTAATTTCAAGTTTCAATCAATGTACCTTGTCAAGTGAATTGCAAAATAGAACAATTTGCAGAAACGATTCACTAACAATGTCATAAGGTCTCCTTCGTAACGTGACAGTAATGAGGGCCGCCACTAAGGCTTTTTGCGCAGTGAGTTTAATATCTCCATGAATAAGCATTTTTGCATCCCTTTGACTTTTGTTTTGCTTTAATTTATATCTGAAGTCATTTAACGACAGCTCTTTGTCTGTCATTACAGTGATTTGTGTTGATTATACTGCCTTAGTATAAGTATAGAGAGCTCTCTTATTATTTTTCATAAATATGATATTAATCTGTTTTTATAACTACATAACATTAATGAGTTTTATATGGGTTCTTAAAATCTTCCTTTATCAAGCTCTTGGATTCGTAGAATAGAAAATAATAGCAATTTAATACAAATGTCTTTGTGTAGCGGTTCTAATTTAGAATTCCTTCGTCGGTACAATTTCATAACACTGTCAGTGCAAAATATGCAGTAGTAGGTAAACATCGATTTTTATATTCATCTCCCTCTATCGCTCTTTCCTATCATGTAGATTGAGATCTGCGAAGTGTATGGAGTGGCCCAAGAGGAATTCTAATGTTGATATGATTCTTTTCATAAATTTTACATCTTCTGATATAATATCCGTTACTACTGACATATTTTTTTCATGTTCTATTTTTTGCATTCAGTAAAATATAAACGGTAAAGTAATATATTTTATAGAGAATTTTCTTGTTGCTGAATTTTTTATATTTATTTTATATGATTTATACCGGTACACAATCAAATATGTTAATTGAAAAGTCATCACACATGAAATTCTCGATATTTAACAGTTTAAATATCAGCTATCAAGACTGGTATAGCAAAGTTATAAATTGCGAAAACAAACTCATAAAACGATAGGTAATAAAAACAAAAACTACGTTTAATTTTTCAGAGAAACAAAGAAAAACGTAATTGATTATTTTTTACAGAGAAGTTTTTGGTATTGCCTGAAAAATCTTATTGAAATAGAAAATATTTTCAAACAATTATTCAAACTCTTCCCTTTATTTTTAGCATTGATAATTTGACTGTAATAAATATATTTCATTTTAATGTCTTACATAAAATATACTAAAACTCACCTCTATTTGAATACTCGCAGCTCTGTAAGCCCTGTCTGCTGTATTTTGTGCTTGACAAATGAATGTCTGGTTATGATGCTCTTCTTTGGGTGACATTTTAATGACAGACCTAAGAAAGAACATTTCATGTACGTATATTATAATAAATTATATGAAAAATATAATCTATTTTAAGCAAAATAGTTATTAAAACTTCAATTAGTGCTATAAACAACAGTGAAAGGCTACAATCATCAGCTTCAAAAGTAGATTTACTAACAAAAGCAATGAAAGACAAAAACAAACAGAGCTTCAACCGACAGCCGATTCTGAATAGAACGATGACAGGTAAATTACTGACCTGGCTGTAAATCTTTGTCCGTCAGACAAAGGCTCCACAGTATAAGTAACACCCTGAGTTAAGACACCAGCGTTGCTGTCCACCCACGTGATCTGAAATAGGATGTTATTAATTACGGCTGAATTAGGTACAATTTCAAGCTCAATTCACGCTCATTTGGGTCCGATTTTCAGCGAGATACAAGGTGTACATACATCTTTTGTTTTTAAAACTATATGATATCGAATTATTCTAGGTGATCTATGTTCTTTGTGTAGGACATTATCTAAATCAAAACATCAAAAAATTAAACGATTTACAAACGTTACACCGAAAAATTTCCAGCGTCAAAAACGTAACTCAAAAGCTTTATTTCAGCTGCGCGTGTTACTGGATCGTTAGTACCGTGTATTATAAAGAAAACCACGACCGGACAGTTTGCGCTGTAAATATTTTAACTCTAAAAGCTGTATTCTCAATGGAGCTCCCATGTTTCGTCGCGACATCATATTCAATTTAACTCCTAATTGTGTTCGTCCCCACGAGGTACATACCTACTCACTCAATTTGAATAAATTAAATGAAACATTGACTTTATTATGACTACAAAGGAATAACAGTAAAATAAATAAACGATCACGAAAACAAGGTGTAGGATTAATCAAAGAATTTAAAGGATCTTTTAAGATCGTGAAATCCTAGATCTATCAAATAAAATTGGATGAAATAAGCTTTTTTCGAGTTGTTTTGTTTAGTGTGCGGTTGATAGCGGTGTAAGCGGCTTAGTTCACCGGTTGCAGTTGATAGATAACGATCCTTAACATGCTCATCCGTGCCATCGAAAACGCAGTTAGGCTTGTGCATTTCCTTTATAAGTCAACTTTAACGGTACGGAAAATTTATCACTTATGTTTACTTTGCAGTAAATTTAAAGTAATTAATAAGGAAACCTTTACTTTCAAGCTATTAGTGAATGTAGGAACAAAAGTAAAATAATTAATAAATCTCAAGAAAAGTTGAAAAGGAAGAAAGTTCGGCCATTTGTATTTAAACTCTCGCTAATTTAAGCAACAAAAATGTTTAGCAAGTCGTTATTCGACGCTTCTAAAATTTTGCTGCATTAATTACTTGTAAACACATTCTGAATAAAGATGCTCTAAAAAGATAAGATAAAAACGTACAAAACCTTCAATTAAATTTACTATTTAAGTCTTGTTTAATGGATTAAGTTCCTTTTTAACAATAATGCATTTTCTCAAAATTTTAGCCACAATAGCTTGAGAACTATTTAAGTAAAAAAGTATGTTAACAGGCCAATTTGCCAAAATATGTAAAGAATGTCATCTACTGGTATAAAAGAATTCAAGAACGTATTCCCTACAATGTTATTAATTGGATCACGAAAATATTAAACTTAATCCGATAGTTGTAAGGATTAATATCCATTGTATCACCATGGGCAGTTAAATCGTTACTTACCTCCGCAGGTGGTTTTCCGCCGACCGACACACATTCCAATGTAATCAGTCTGTCTTCGTTAGTAGAGTAGAAATTCCCTTGTAGTATTTTTGGTGGTTCTGGCGGTACTAGAACTGTTAGGCGGGCGTACCGTGACCTAATTGCAGGCTCACCTGAACAAAGAGTTTTAATTTATTTCAGCGGTATACACGGCACATAGTTGTCGAGAATTGATACTTTTAGAGCTAGAGTTAGTTTTACAACGCTTTGTTTTCAACACTTCATTATTATTATTAATGTTTTTGAACCCGCACATTTATATATAAACGTCTTTTGTACGTTACTTTATATAATACGGCAAATAATAATAATATGTATTACATATATTGAATTTGTATTGGATATATTTTGCATTAAAATACATGACTATAGGTACTGTTTATTATACAAAATTTTATTTTACATGCATAAGACGGACAATGATAAAATAATATAAAGACATCTAAAAACAATAAAATATCTTTGCTTCATAACTTTTGTCATTAAAATGGTAAATGTATAGTACGTTTATTACCTGCTTACTTAACTGTACACATTTTTCAACTAATACCAGAATCGCTTTAACACTTGAGTTGAAAATTGCGACTTTAAAATTTTTAACGAGCCGTGCAGATTTACGAACCAAGTAGTGACTGAAGAAATACTTGTAGTATTTCTTGGAAATCTGGTTAACCAACCACTTGAACAACTTCATCTATCATTAGCAAAGTTTTTTCATGATATGTAATTGAGCTTGTATAATCAAAGCCCGACTTTTACTAAACATGACTCGTGCAAGTGTGATAACAAAGTTTGTGGATTAGTTTTGTAGCTAAGATACCTAATTAAGAAGTTAGTTTTGGAAATGATCTCTGTATTAATAGAAATAAAAGACGCAATTTGCCACATAAATAGTTTAGGTAACCGAAATGAATATCGTATTGTACATATGAAATAGTTATGAGGAGACACTATAATCAACTTCTTATGTTGAATAAAGCAATTAAACCTTTTCCTTTAGCAGCATACCTACTTATACGTAGGTGAAAAGACAATAAAGACAGAAGTTCCTTCCAGATAGTTTTCTATAGAGAAAACTTTCAGTTCTCAACTAAGTTTCAAAGTTAAATAGTGCAAAGTTGTACAATTTAGCCGCAAGCTAGTAGTCTTTTGTGCTTCTTTAATAAAAAACATTGTTCCACATTCCATTATATATGGAAGGCTGCATCTCTATACTGCATATGAATTGATCTTATGTGTTATTCTAACACCTCTCTTAAAAGTTGCTCACCTTTAGCTTTGCTACTTAAACAAATAATATCAAGATAAAATGAAATCTATTTATCAACTATTTAAAATAACTTTGTCAAATCTAAGTCTTAATTAAAAAACAGAATAGCTATATCCAATCTCTTAAGGAAATAAGCTACAACAAAAGAAAAGGTTAAAAAAAAACTTGCAACCATTAAACGGCGGAAGAAGCAATTTAAATATAAATTAAGAAAGCAAATGGAAACAGAAGAAAAATTAATAGAATAAAAGTAAAGGAAATGTAAAAGGTTTAAAATTTTACGAAGTTTACACCAAGGAAGTTTCCAATTAGCTCTAAGCCGGTTAGGCAGAAGTCTTGTCATTAAGTTCTGATTGAGTTTTGATACTAGTTGAGTTTTATGTATTAAATTTTGCCAAAAGTTTCTCGTTGGGGAATGTTTTCTCGTCTAATCTTCCGTAATCTCGTCTGGATAATAGATTGATTTTATTAACTGGTAAATCTATATAAGATATTTTAACAAATTTTTAAGGAAATAAGATTTGTATAAAGAAATGATAATAATAAATGTACATAATATTTTGAAGTATTTTATTACGTTCGTTAACTTAAATTTCATTTAATACCTCAAAGGAAATGTGAGCAACGATTTCTTAAACAGAGATATTAACTTAAATCTTCAAACAAAGACCTAACAGAGTCAAGATAAGAGTATTCCTAAGGAGTTACAATAATTTATCACGAACACAAAAGCGTATGTAAATTAATTTTTGAACCTTTCCCATTCTGAATTTATACTGCTTCTGAATGGGTTGTGATACCGAAAATTTCTAAGATGTCTGATTATAAATTCAAATAATTCTTATAGTATGATACAATGAAGTATATTTACTGTTACACATGCTCTTTGTTTGTTTATTTCCTGATATTATTTGTAATAACAAAGCAAACGTCTATTTGTGTATATTTTTTTAAACTTACCATTTATTAAGTTACATAATATTTAAATTACATAATAAGTATGCTTTAAAAATTATAATTAATTTTATAGTTTTTCTAGTAATATTAGTAATAAAGGTGTATGCATCTCACATACACCTTCACTATTCAAAAATGATAAAAAGGGTAACTTTAATTAAATAAAATTACTTTCGCTTTATATTGACAGCAGTTGAATGAAGTAGTTTATTTATTGGACCAATTACAGTAATGAAATAAAGCAATATAAATAATTTTAATATACGTATACATTGACATTCAAAGTTTTATCTGAAACTACTACATAGTAGTATGTCTATCCATATTAGCATTATTTGTATAAGGTTTTATGTTTGCCTCAATTTTTTGTTAAGCACGAAATTTTGGAGGAAATTTTAGATGAATATAATAAGAACGGAAATAATGCATTATTGTTTTTTTTTTTTCAGCCTAACACTTTGATCTGAACGTCATTAAGGATCAACAAAAGAAAAGGCACCCAAAAAAAAAACTCTCTTGGAAGGCTGCCTTCAAGGTAAACTTTTTTGGATTCATTCAACTATTATACTATAGGATCACGTTTCGTTTTTTTTTATTAAAGTTGAAGCTAAAAGGTTGCTGCTTATTTTAAACATATTACATTTTCCAAGATATTTTTTAATTTATTCTGCTATAAAATATAAATTTTCCCATGCTATACATAGTTCTAGAAAAGGTTGGTTTTTCTATTGAAAACTGAACAAGTCTTGGTTGTAATATTATTTTATTATTAGTTGCAATAACATAAAAACCAGCATACTGTGTTTTTATTCATATAAATTCTTTTATATATTAAAACTTTATGTAAACTAAAATGTAGATTTTTTTTCATTAATATTTAATTTTCATATCTTATTACATTAAATTTCTCTTTTCTTTTGTAAATTTTAGTTACTTTAATCCGTTATTATTCAAATTCAATTGGAAACAAGTGCTATAAGATATAAGGTATTACAAATAAATAGGTGGAAAAAAAAAATAAGGGCAATTGTGTATATGTGTAACTAAGCTGATAAATACAAAAGATCTTTTATCTAACTACTAAGTATTTTATATTTAATTATCTATGCAAATCTTATCTAAACTATGATACATAAAAATATGTTCAGTAGTTTTTTGTTGATAGATTAAATAACATTCATCCATCATCACACATTTCCACCTCATAATGTCAGTGGATGAACCAACGAAAACCAAAAATTCAACCGTACATTTGCTAGGTCTATCTTTAAACAATCATAACAAGATCGAAACATCGTAATTATACATTTCAAACAGAGATCGTGGGATCATGTCTTGTTGGGTACATTATTTTGATGTTCAAATAATTATTATAGTTCATGGCTTATGTACATAAGCCGATAATTTTAGGCCTATTTTCTTATACGCATGTGTTGGAATTATTTAATTGCTATATTTGAACTATATTTATCTTTTTTACAAGCCAATTCACTTTTGTATATTTAGAAAATTCTTTAGAATTAATATTGACATTAATAATGATATATTTACCTCTCGAACCAGAGCTGACTTGGCACTGATATTTTGCGTCATCTTCTAAAGTAACATCTCGAATATCTAAAGAATAATCCCCTGTAACAAACAATAATAATATAATATTTGTTCTAGAAATCCTTAAAGAAATGTCAATATCAAAGATATTCACGCAGTTGGTATCGTTGGGCCGATGTTTAAAACTTTATCAGAGCACCAGCAGTTTATAAGATGATCTTAATATTCAAATAATCTTGCGGAAGGTTTTGTTTAATAGAGATTCAAAGATTGAAATACTCATAGTAAAAAACAATCTACTACATGCCTCTTTCGGTATGACTTCATTATATTTTTTAAATAATTATTTCTGCACTAATATATTAAAATATAATTCGATTTGTCTATCAATTATCGTAAAGAAAATTTAGTGTTGACGTAATAAAAATATAGAACTTATTGTTGTTACAATATGTGAGCATTTAGATGTCTTGTTTATGGAATATTTATTCATTGAACCGATTTTTCATGATATACAATTATGGCTATTTACATTAAAAAAATTCTTGTCGATTTATGTAATTTTCTATCTATTTTTATATTCGATGAATTTATGATATGAATTTATTATAGTTATCAAGTTTTAAAAATGTTTTAAATATAATATACAAAAAAATGGATATGATAAAATAATATAAAAAATAAGAATACGAAAAGATAAATAAACTTTATGTAACTCCAAAACAACTTGAAATTCCCCTCCAGTTATTTTCTAGGTTTGAAGTTTATTCCATAAAAAGGTTACCTTCTTCGTCACTTCCGATCATTTTATACCGGTCGTAACCGCTGAGTTCTCTATGTAAACCAAGACCGAAGTCGTCTTTCGTCCACTGTAATTGACCTGCCTTATTTTCCACTCGGCATGGCAATGTTACTCTTGACCCAACAACGGCGGTCTGCAAGAGAAAATACGAATAACGAATCTTACTTTTAAAAATAAAGTAAAATGCTAGAATTTATATATTTATTATTTAAAAAGACGTTTTTTAAACACAATAAAAGTTATTATTGTTTTATTAGTGATGAATTTTTCACAATAAAGTTAAATAAAAAAGATCTAATATATTAGTGGATTTTATCGAGTATTCACATATACTCTTCATTTTGATTTAACGATACCAAAATTTAAAGAATAAATTACTGAAAAGTTTTACTAAATCACTAAGCTTAAGCTAATCACAGCTTTAATATACAAAATAATTAATAAACAAAAGTTCATTTAATTTGCTATGATAGTTTTTACAAATATATCTACATGCCCATATTCTTAATCCATATTTAATTTTATCACACGTTTTTATTACAATTAATGTTATCTAAGGCCGATAAAAAGTCTATTACATTTTATTCGATATAATTTTCCTCGAAAAAAAACGTTTACTTAGAATTATTAAGTGAATGGACTGACATCAACGTCAAAAAAATATCTATCCATTACCGATGTCCCTTTTTAAGAGTTCATTAATAGATGAGTGAACATATATTTATGAGGATTCCAAAAAATATTTATATAAAGCAACCGATTTTGATCATTCAATAGAGTTTCCTACTTTTGTGCGTTCAATAGATTTTGTGTAGAAGCGAATGAGAGTAATCACATAAATGTATTCCATATTAAAATAAAATAGGACGTCATTTTCAAAATGTTTGCTATGAAGATATTTATCTACATATTTTGAGAAATGCATTAAAAAAATCGACATCATTTCTTATGTAGGTACTTGCAAATAAACCTCCTGTAATAATTTTTTAGCAATGAATTTTCATAGTATTGTTGTCAAACACTTGCAGTTTATCGACATACAGTTACGTGCCACACAACGATTAAAATATTTGAGGTGCGATTAATTTAACATTATCTCTAAATTTATCTTAACATTAAAATATCGAGTATCCAGTTTACATCCGGACCCCTTACAATCTGTCCGACATATCTTCTGGATATATTTATCAAAGAGAACGGTCAATTTATTATGACTGTTTTTATTTTTTTAACAACTATTATATATCCAAGAACACAAAGAAATCGATATTCCTAGATGTTTTGTTATAAGATGAATTTAAACGTCCTCGGGATAAGTGTACTTGAGATGTTTTTCTATCCCGAACAAACTCTGACAAATAATAATCATAAAAATATTTTTACACTGTCATAAAAATCCTTGAGTTATCTATAAAAAATATAATTTATCTAAGGCTATTATTCTGATTAAAATACTTTAGTTGTGTATAAATACTCTTTAGTTTATTGAAGACACCATCATGTTCTTTTAGTATTGAAAACTCAATTGATAATGTTTTATATTTGTAAATAGCTGCTGTCAAACAGGCAGTAGTTTGTCCCTGTAGCCCCTTTTACAATAACCACTTACCATAAGTAGTAATTGTCACCTATAAATACTTAAATTAAACATACTTAATGGACTTTAATTCCAACCGAATAAAGGCTAGATTGAATTGGCAAAGAATGTTGAATAAAACTAGTCATTACTTACACAATATATTTTTGTATTAACGAGCTTAAAGACATGCAAAAAAACTAGAGTAAACAGCACTCCGGGCTGTATCTTACAGTATCTAGTTTAGCTTTAGTTAACCTGAAATAATAGTGCTTATTTTCTTTTAAAAAATCTTTAAAACTTATCATAAATTATAATAAAGTATCTCAATATAAGATGTTCTTCGGAAAACATTTTAACAAGAAACACTTTATATTCAAGCTCCATTGAACCATCGTTATTGAACTATGAAATAAGTCTTAAGAAAAGCATGTAATGTAAATTTATACGGAACTTTTAACAATGCTTAGTAAAGTATAAATGTAAAGTAATTTTAATCTATATATAAAGTTGGAGGTGTGAGTTTTGTCCTAAGCTGCTTGAATATAAAATTTATTATTATTAATTTATTTATTTAAGGTCGCTTTTTAACAACAAGGTCATTAACGACCACAGTTAATATAAAATTTAGTTTTATAAAATTATGTAGAAATAAGTGTTATTTTCCTTATTAAAACCATAAACATATGCATATCAAATTGTAGGGTGTTGTTATGGATTGAAAAGATGTGTTTACTTTAAAAATTATTCTTATTTATACAATTAAATTATTTTGTCTCTCTTTCTTTTTCAGTATTCAATACGATCTGTACAAGTTTTTAGGACTTTTGAATTGTATAATTATTGTAAAATTTAATCTTATCATTTTTAGTTTTTGACTGATGAATTAGGCCGAAAATATATATGAAAAAAATACTCATTTTTAATCTCATAAAATTAGTTACTACAATAAGCAGGATCCATATATTATTTATCTACCACTACAAGACTATTTCCAACCTATAAATACAAAATACACTTAAATAACAATCATTAAGATAACTGACATAGAAACAAGGTCATAAAATAAGACTTAAATGTACATTATCTTTACAAATTCCTGTAATTATTTTTATTCTTTTGATATCTTTACAAATTAAAATGTATTTTACAACCTATTCAAGGAACTTTTAAGTGAATTGTTTTTAAACATCTCTCAGAGCACAGGTTGTACTGAAAAAGATATGTATCAAAGATATATCTCTCTGACCACTGAGAAAACTTACACCTGTATTTTCTTTACTCTTTTGTGTAAATAAACTTGTACATTTATCTTGGTGAATTCTTTGCCTTTGAGGTATTTATTTTGATACATATATGATATGAAATATTGCTGTTACATTAAATATATTGCTGTGAATAGAATGTCTTTATAATTATAAGTAAGCCAACGTGTATATTACATAATACATACAAATATGGGTCTAAGTTAACAGCAATAGAGCAGGAAATCTTTAAACAAATCATGAAGACTTAGTTTTATTATTGTATTCAATTAGTAATTAAAACAAACTATCCACATTACAGTGCTATCTCTCGCCAGTTTTCAACCTAAACTTTGTTTCGCAGTGTACTTTAGAAGAAAAATTAACGAGTTAAGCGACTAATGCAAAATGAGTCAATAATCTCACCTGATCTTGGGGTTCCATCGCGAATTTCTGCTCCACATATCCGCAGCACGTTTCCATTATCCCAAACACGACACACACACATAACCAAGTCCGTAACAGTAAGAACAATGGTTTAACACACCTACTAGTAACTTTAAGTCTATAGTAGAACATTTTGTTTGATTATTTTATAACAATCAATGTTTTATCACATTTTGAAATGCTGTTATTTCTATGTGTTCGCTTGATTGTTTGTTTTCACGTGGATGGAGCGGCACATGACTATTTTAAACTTATAAAGGGTGACCTGAAACAAAATAAATGAATTTTAAAATATAATTCATCAGTTGTTTTTTCATAAAATATCGCAGAGGTAAAAAGGTTTCAAAATAACTATAGTTGATTTAAAAGGTTTCATTATATTTTTGGGGCATATAAAAATTCAAAGATTTAAAAAGAAAACAGATCTGAAGGAAACTTGCTTAAATTTATATTTTATATAGAAACGAGTTTTTTAAAAGAACTGTAATACTGATGATTATGTATCCATATAAGTAGACATATATAAATTTTAGTTGACTAAATGTATAGTAATTGAGAAATTTTATAGGAAAAACAAATAATGGCAAATAATCATACACAATATGTCTTATTTATAATGTAAGCTGTTTGGAGCGACGATGATATATGGAAATAGACTAAGAGACGCGAGATCTCAAAGCGGTATCAGCCTTGAAGATTAATTTGCAACTGAAATCTAGAATTCCTAAGACAGTTGAAAAGTTACACGAAAGAAAATGTAAAGAGAATAATGTAGTGGGATACGTGCTTCTGTTGCTATGATGTATATGGCTAATTTAAAATATTTCTTATTTTCTCTGAAGATTTTCATTTTATATCATGAGTATATAACAGTTCCTTTTTAATACTATAAGATATCTTATGAGAGTGAATCTTTTATTACACTTTCTGTTTATATGTACATATATTTATTTAACACTTTAAATATATATAAAAAAATCATAAGACAGTCGTTAAGTATGATTTAATATAACTAAAACGAATTCTTTTTGGTTTATTTATAAAGTGAGTCTTCTTCTTCTTCTTCTTCTTAGCGTTAATCCCGTCTTGTGACGGGGTCCGCTTTCCTGCTGTTTTTCTTCCACTTCGCTCTATCATGGACATCTTCCTCATCCAGATCACAGTTATACATGTCATTCGTGACGACGCTTAACCATCGCAATCGCGGTCTTCCCCTTTTTCGCTTGCCAGGTAAATTGCAGTTAAGCGTTCTATTGCCTATGTATTGAGGTGGTCTTCTTTTAACATGTCCATACCATCGTAGTCGGTTCTCCTGCAGTTTGTCGGCGATGTCGCGTATCCCGAGGCTACCACGCACGTACACGTTGCGGATCTTGTCGAGCCTCGTCACTCCGCACATCCACCTCAACATTTTCATCTCCGTCACACGAATGGTATCAACATGTTTTTTTGTAACAGCCCACGTCTCGCTTCCATATATGAGAACTGGTCTTATGATGGACTTATAAACTAGCCCTTTGAGCTTGATGGGCATCCTCGTGTCGCAAATGACTCCAGTAAGCTCGCGCCACTTCACCCAAGCAGTGGATATACGGTGTTGAAGGTTGCTTTCCAGACTACCGAATTTGTTTATCATACTACCCAGGTATTTATACTCATCGCACTGTTGGACCACCTGCCCATCAATCACTATTGGATCCGTGCGAGGGGTAGAGACATTACACTCCATGTACTGGGTCTTAGCAACACTTAGTATCAATCCTCCTGCTTGTAGTTGCTCTTTCCATGCGCTTAATGCTACTTCAAGATCTTGACGACTTGATGTACATATCGCTACATCGTCTGCGTATATGAAAGTCCATGAAGCTTTCTGTTGAGCATCTTCAGAGAGTATATCCAGCACTAGACTGAACAAGAATGGACTCAGAACTGAACCTTGATGGACCCCTTCAGTGACTGAGATGGATTTTGTCACTCCTACCGTTGTTCTTATGAATGAACGCGCATTTCTGTACATGTCGGCAATGGTGGAAACGTATGCTTCAGGGATGTTACGAAATCTGAGACTCCACCATATAGTGTCTCTGGGAACACGATCAAAAGCCTTTTCCATATCCAGAAATGCAACGTAAAGGGGTTTCTCTTTTGCTCTGTATTCTTCAGCTATCATGGTCATGGCAAATATCGGATCAATTGTTGACAAACCGGGCACAAATCCGTACTGATTTTCGGAGAGCGTACATTCGGCACGTAGACGGTTGTCTATAACTCTCTCATACAGTTTCATCGTATGGCACATTAACTTAATGCCTCGGTAGTTAGTGCATTCATATCTACTACCTCTACCTTTGTAGAGAGGAATTACCACGCTCATTCTCCAAGCATCCGGAATGCCGCCCTGTTCCAGCAGTATGTTGTTAAACAAGTTTGTCAATACGTTTATTCCTACATCACCCAGACACTTCCACACTTCCACAGGAATGCCATCTGGACCCATGGCCTTCTTGTTTGGCATTTTCTTAAGCGCTGCATTAACCTCCCGTGTTGTTATAGGGGGTACGAGGCCCAGATTTTTAGCAACTTGTGGTAAGCAGACTTCCGTAGTATTAGTGTTCAACAAACCATCATAATACTGGTGCCATGTTTTCAGGATATCCTTGCTATTGTACACTAGATTTCCGTCTGGTCCCTTAAGTATTTTATTCTTCACAAAATCTTTGGTAGCCTGGTTTCGCAATTTAGCTAGCTTGTATATGAGCTTATGACCGTCTTTCTTTTCTAAGGATGCATACAGTTCTTTTGTAGCTTTGGATCTTTCAACTGCGATCACTTGTCGGGCCTCTTTCTTACTCTGTTTATACTGCTGCCTATCTTCATTTGTCTTGGTGGATTGCCATGTTTTAAACGCCTCTTTCTTTCTTCTAAGGGCTGTGCGTACTGGTTCACTCCACCACCACGTCTCCATCGGTATGCGCTTTCCACCTTTCGTTCGCCCTAGTACCTTTTCTGCAGCTTTTAGAAGAATGAGTGAGTTTTTTAATATATATTTTTTAAATAATCATAATTTAAATATAGATTAGTGTTATTCTTATGAATGACTTTTAGGGTCTTTGTTCGGACACTGTACAGCTCTTGATGAGATTGACAGACAAAAAATAAATCTGACTTTAATAGTATTGAACAATCCATCTCTTTAAACACGATTTCTTAAGTAACCAGTAACATTGGCATTACCAAATGATTAAACCATAGGTTAATACGTACTTATTAAACCACCAAGCATTTTTGGATTCTAAAACTATGTTAAGATTACTTCTAATGGACATTTTTTAAATAAAATTTTGCTCATCTTACTCGCTTCTCTTGGCGTACTAGCCTAACATTGAGTTAATCAAATAAATAAGTTGGCCGGAACTTTGCCGGGGCAGGAATAATTCTCAAGTTTCCTGTACTACTGTCTTTTTTGTTTCGGAATTGTTTGCTGCGCTCAACTTTGAAAATGTCTTCGGTTTTACGCTATTTGTGAAGAATAACTCATTTCAGACACGACACTATTAAAACTTAATCAGAAGTATTACTCTCAAACTTTATTTTAACGTATACAAATTAAGATAGTTAGCTGTCGGAATATTACTGATACTTTTGAATAATAACTCATTCTAAATAAATACACGTGTTTGTTAGCTTATACTTCTATTGCTTGGTGTTAGATGCATAAATTAAATTATCTAATTTAGAAATTATACATATTAATTTGTATTTCTATATAGAATTCTGGATATTTAAAAAGAATTGATGCGATGTCAGGAGAGGTAACGGTAAATAAAAATAAAAGCATTGGAAACGTTTTCTCAAATCAAAGAATATTCAAAAAATTTCACCGAATTAACCGTCTTTTAAATGTATAGTTTAGATAGTTATCTTAACTTAAATGAAACACTTAAGTTAAGTTAGCTTAATGTAGTATTTATCAGGTTTAAACTATTTATTATTAGTTATTCCGGAAACCATAACCAGTAGTGGTTTCAAAGACCGATGCTCTCATTAAATATGCTTGATCTGTTCACATATAAATTACATATACCTGTCTGACTGGTTATAGGAATAATTTACATACAGCACTTTGAGAGTCTTGTAAAAAAACTTGCATGACAGTTAACCAAAACCTCGTTATTACTTGCTAAGGAATATAAAACTTAAATAAATTATATAATTATTCTAAATAAACCACACACAATGATAAAGTCATTATTGAATTTATGTATATGAAAACATATATCAAAAATTATGATTTTATACTTACGATTCAAGTAAATGAATTAAACAAGTCTTAAAACACAAAACTAAACTATCAACGTGGTTCAACGGAACCCAACTGAACAAATGAGCTCATTTTGGACTTGGGTATTTTTAACCCACCCCTTGTAAACCGTGACTCAGATTTACATCCGACATTAAATGAATATATTTTTAAAATAAGTTGCTTTACTTCGACTATTTATATACAGTAATTATTTGAAGATAAACCGGAAGATTTTTTTTATTTCAAATACACAGAGAAATTTCTATAGTTAGCGACATTCCTTTGAGTTCATTCGACAATCTTTTTGAAATTTATTTCCGCATAAAATAAATGCTCTTCGACATTGCAAAGAAATAGCAGCTAATTTAAAGGCAGGAATTCTTTGTGACAAAATATTTGTACTATTATATTTTAAGGCGACAATAAATCTTAAGCCGCTTGCAAAATTAAATTTCATTAAATACTAGCTATTTTCTGTAGGTATGCTCACAATTCGTCTGTGTTCAAAAAGCATATTAGAGCAAATTATATACTATGAATTTAATATTTAATGTCTGTCTGTATTGAAAAAAACCTGTAAGGCTATACTGATGACCATTTAAAAAAAATAAATTAATCTATAAAATTATACTAGTGAAATCCACTGTTTCGTATCTGATATATTTGTTTAATAACACGTTATATATGTACATATGTGACTAAAATGGATCAAAGGCTTAGGCTTTGTAAAATGCAATTTATTTTTAAATCTCAAACATTTAAACTTGATCCTGTCCATCAGTTAAAGACATTAGTGTCAATAAAACATGTAGAATGCGTGCCGTTTCCGGACACGTCAAACTTTTATATTTAGAAAGGGAATCATTTAGGATTCGTCTCGTTAGATGTTATCTTCAAATAAGGGGATATTTAAACTTAAACGCAGCTCATCGGATTGTTTAATATAACCAAAAAAAGTATGCTACGTGTAATTAGTTAAATTAATCGTATATACCGGTTGTTAAGATAATGTTGGCATACATTTTATGTCTTTCTTTGATGAATTCCTATTAAAATGAAGATGTTCTTCAATTTCCCTTATTTTTTTTAAGGGAGACTCAAAATAAATTGGATAACTTCATGTTTGGGCTCTCTTAATTTTTTCTATGCCGATTATCAACAATAGTGTGTTCATTTTAATTTTTTGTATGTGCATGAATATTGAAAATATATTCTACATGGATGCTGTCCGAGCTACTACGTCAATAGCCAATGGAGTTAAACCAATATCCATACTCAAAAATAAACCACTTTGATCGCTATTTTCCCCTGTATTTTACAATGACAGTTCGTAATGATTGATAAAAGTGTGATCGCATGAAAGACCAATATAATTTAAATCTAGTTTTTTTTAAGAAATATGACAAGTTAATATACATAGTTCTTACCCGAAATTTTAGTTTAATAGTTGCATTGACCTACTGTCAATATAGCAATAATTTAATGAATACAACTTAAGAACTATACAATCAAAAAGTATATACTGTTCTTAAAAGGGTGTTTGTTTATGATTATTCAATATTTACAGTATTAAATTTCTTTTCAGAATATAAAATTATTTATAAACTACACATACGCGAGTACATCGTTTTGAATGGGTAAGTAAATTGAGATTTTCATCTAGAATTACATTCATCCCGACACAGATCTAGTTAGTGACGTCACACATGAAATGGAGTGTTCATTTAAGTTTACAGATACTTAACTCAAGTACTCAAACACGAAATAGGGCTGGAATTGCCTTGTCATCAGATTGTGTTAATTATAATTAACTAGCATCCAATTAATTAGTCGACAAGTGATCATAGTGGTTGATAGACTAATCTGTTTGTAAGCAATTTGGAACAAATGAGCTAATATGCTGAAATGGTTCGCGGTTTTCTATAGTTAAGTAATACTTAAATTTGATGCAACACACACACACAAACACACACACACAGACATACATATATATGTATAGCATTATGGCTGGAGTAAGAACAGATTTAATTAAAGAGACTATATGTTTGTGGTGAAACGCATTTATGCATACCTCTCCTGGACACTATTGTGTTACAATTGATTCTTTATAAAAGTTTTGTTGAATTTATACTAATTTTTTTAAGAAATCAGATAAAGCTGTTAACTGCTAACGTTTAATTCAGGTTTAAAAACGTTTAGTACATTCTTTAATTTTAAATCTATTCTTATTTTATCTAATTTTAAGTTAATTTACATGATTGTCATAAAGGTTAATGTTTGTTTGTCTGTTTATTACGCCGTAACTAGTGGAATGCCTTTGATGATCCACGGTGAAGGTAATGCTTTGTAACAGTACAAAACAGCTGATTGACTTTATGTTGTATTATAAAGTTCAGAGAAGCAAAGTCGGTAAGATAATATCACCTATAAAATCTTTATTCTTATACATTAATCTTATTTATTTATCCTTTAAAAGTCACATAGTTATCATATATTTTAATAATCAATTTTCTTTATATTAACTTCATTTCATGAAATATATCTTCAATGTTTATTTATTATTCCATTAAATGTATTTTTTATTTCACCCTAATTTATCCTCAAAGCTTTCTGTTTTCGAATACAAAGAGAATTGCCTACAGCTTTTGTTGCCCTGGAGATAAATTTACTTTACAGTTCTTTTACACTTTTCAAATTTTTTGGTTATTTAATTTTGATGTCTCTCTTTAAATACTATGATAATCATAATGTCAATATTAATTCGTTTGAAGAGAGTTTTTTTTAGATTATTTGCAATACTTTTAGAATAAAATACCTATAGTGATATACTAATCAAAAAGCTAGCCGAAAACTTAAGAGAATTCAGAATGAGAGTATAAAAAAGTCGATAGCGACAGGTTGGTGGTTGAGTTTTTTTTTTCTTATTATCTTGCTTCTGGGAACGGATGTAGCCAACGTCCGTGACGTAGATGCCTCGTTTACGCATGCAGCCTTAATAGAGTGAAATTGAGCCTTGGTACGTAAAAAAATGTAAGTTCCAATAATATTTTATTCCAGAGGACCTTTTAGACATTAAAATATATAAATAGCATAACCTTTACTCTCATTTTTACGTCTATAATAAGAAATTTATATCCTTGAAGATAATAATCTTCAATATTGTTGGATAATCTAATTGATAGTCAAGTGTAAGCGAAATCTGTAAAAAAACTTAATTATATAATTTATAAAGTTAATTATATATAAAAGATTACAGAAATAAAAATAATACTCGAGGGATTTAAAAAAACCGTTATCCATTTTAAGGATGTTATTTAAAATTAATTCGCTTGCAAATTGGATACTGAAATTCGATTGGTAATGGATCCTATAAGTTGATTTTCCATCCAAAACAGTTCCCGTCAGTTTAAAATTTAAAAAATATGACCCAAATGCTTTTAAAGTCGTTAATACGTTTCTATCAGTAACGAGATATACCCAATTGGATTGAAGTATATTTATAATAAAGTTTAAATTACTATAAGTGCTATTAAATAATGATAGAACTGTTTTTATTACTAATAGTACATTTCAACTTATCAATTTTATGAGACGAACATTGCTTATCAATTGATATATATAATTTTTCTTTGTTAACAAGACCTTAAAATTAACATGACAGT